AGTAGCCTTGCGAACGAAGGGAGTGTCAGACTGAGTCTTAGGAAGGGATTGATGAGACTTGGGCGGGGTGACTGGCTGCTCACCCATTCTGATGAAGCCGTAGAATAGGACGGCTGATATGGCTTCCCCATCGTTTATAAATCAGTGGGATGCGTGGCCAGAGAAATTACACGTGTAAAGTGGGACTGCTGTGTGGCCAATACTGGTGTACGACGAGGCGAACATTAACTGAACAGCCACAAAAAGTCACACACCGAGTCAGACGGACCTTATTAGGATGCACCGCAGTGTTCTTCACAGCCTGATAGATGCAACCTAGGAAGTCCTTTTGTCCCAGCTGGGCTCTGCGAGTAGTGTGGCGGCAGGATGGAGAGTGTGGCGTAACAACACTGTGCTTAGTCAGGATCGCGTCTAGCACGTGTTCGCGTTCGGTGACTCCCGGGCAGCCGGACACAGCGCGCCAATTCAGAAATCACTATGTAGTAAGGCCATCTCAAGTACGAATGCCTCTTCAATCTTGAGAACCAGTCTGCTGGTCTCTGGTGAATGCTGATCATTCTCTCTCACGCCGACTCATGCCCAGTAGAGAAGCCGAGCAACGATCTCGCAAAACCGCTTCGAAAGCTGCTCGATACAGGCCATGGCATAACTACCAGCTCTATGCGTGTGCAGTAGCTGATCTCTGGTCATTTGTAGCGGCTATCTGCCATGACCATTTCACAGTTCTTTCCACGATATATATACCAAATGTCGCAGAGTTCACTTGCGGGGGTTACAAGTTCGCGTCATGGTCGGACGTCGAGGAGATGCTAGTTGAGAAGATGCAAGGCGGTGAGATCACAAACGTACAATGAGTCCATCCTCCAGGAAGATGGTGCAGAGATTATCTATACAGTGGAGAAGAACGAAGAAGACGAACAGAATTACTGTGAACACCCTACTACAGGTTATCTTTGTCACGAATCGGATGCGTCTGGATGCAGAATTTTTCGAGGTGCTGGGTGCGCGAGTGCCAAATGTTACCAAAGAGTGTGGTAATGTTCTATTTCTGCAACTTGAACTGTGTGCTTGATGATATTCGAATGTGTCCGGTGGAATATCGGTGAACGGTTGAGAAAGTTGCGGAATTGGCTTGTGAGTCGGGAACGCGAGGCACAATCGCGATCATATCTCGTCGTCGGACCCATCCTTGACCATGTCCAAACATTTGGTTTCGTCTTTGACTCTCCCGGGACTCGGAGTCCCGGTACGAGCTGGCTATTTATCAGCCCAGAGTCTCAGACGTTGAAGTCTCCCACTAACAATCGATATCCTCTTTCTCTCACCATGTCTGCCAGCATCCAAGACGCGATCATGCTACTCGGCGACTCCCTCACCCAGGGCGGGTGGGAGGCACACGGATTTGCCCAGCGGTTGGCTTGTGAGTGTTATTAATAATCAAATAAAATCAGAAGACTTGACCATCGAGACAGTCGCATACAATCGTAAGCTGGATGTCATCAACCGTGGTATGTCGGGATATAACACGGAATGGATCATCCCCGTCTTTGAGCAGGTGCGTTATCCAGGCTGGTCATTCCACCACCCCTCAACTACGTGGGAGCCAGATGTCGCTTACTACCGCCCTCCATCGCACAGTGCTTCGCGACGCAAAACGAGCAGCAGCATGTCCCCAAGGTTCGCCTCCTCACCATCTGGCTCGGCGCGAACGATGCCGCGACGGAGGGCACGCCACAGTACGTTCCGCTCCCCGCCTATTCCGCCAACCTCGCGAAGCTCGTGCGGACGGTTACCGACTCTGCCTCTGCGCACTACTCCCCCGTAACGCGCATCCTCCTCCTTACTCCCCCACCCGTGAACACCCACCAGTGGGCTGCGCACCGCGCGGAGCAGAACCAGACGCTCGACCGCAACTTTGAGAAAACCCGAACGTACGCCCAGGCCGTGCGCGACGTGGGCAAGCAGGTCGGCGTGCCCGTCGTCGACCTGTGGACGGCGCTCTGGGACGCATGCGGCCACGTCGAGGAGCAGCTCAGCGAGTATCTCTCTGATGGGTTACACTTGACTGACCGAGGCTACGCTGTGAGTCACTGTGGGACCTGCCGCAGCCTCGACCCACTAAGCTCTCCCGTTGCAGATCGTGTTCGATGAGATCATGAAGAGCGTCAGCGAGAACTATCCAGAGCTGCACTATGACAAGCTCCCGCCCGTCTTTGAGCTGTGCGTGTTGCCCGTTGCATTTACACTGGCCGTAGCTGACATCTGCGCGTGCAGCTGGGACAAAATCAACCTAGAGAACCCCCTATCTTCCTTGTCCAAGCGAGACATTTTCAGTAGTGCTTGAGGCAAGAAGCAGGCTTGTAGAGCAAAGAGAGGTTGATCGTCATGCATCATCAGCAGTGTAGATTTGCCATAAAGGACAAATCCTAGAGCTATGTCACGATTTGTATTATATTCGAGAGAAAGACAATTGCACCAGGATGGCGAAAAGACGCCGCACGACACCCGAAATACATTCCAGAGCATCCGCACCAGAACGTCTAAAGCTAACAAAACATGAAGGAACAGCGAAGAGACCATGCGGCATGGTTAAATCCTACGTATACGTAAGGTAAGCGCGTGAGAGGAATAAAGCATAGATCAGGACTGAAGACGGTTGAGAATGACGCGGACGTGAAGAACGAGCGGTGGGGCGATCCAATACGTTCAAAGAGATTGAAGACGAAGAACACAGACAGTGGTTATACAATGCAATGAGTTAAGAGTCGAAAGAGCAAGCCTATTCTTGTCCGAATCCAACCGTTTCCCTGGTTGCAAAGTTAGCGCTGTTGATAAGTAGGTTAGAGGGACTGAGACTTACTCTACGGCTAGTGTCAATTTCTGTTCCAACGTTTCGTAATCCCTGTAGGGTGGCAAGTCGATACGGTTGAAGCATGTGTGGCTCTTCGGCAGTTGGCTTGGGTCACCAGACTTCTCGATCGTGAACCGACGTGGCCCATCCGAGCCCTGCAAGTCTTTGAAGCCGTTGACAGGGATACGAGATGTACCCGTCGCGAACTGCAAGAGACGCGACTTGCGTTCGGGTGGCCAACTACGAATGCACTTCCAGAACCACTGGACAACCTCGTCGTTGACCTCATATCCACGATAGTCGGTATACTTACTCCAGTCGTCGCTACATCAAGGGTCAACAAAATGGTAGTTTCTGTGTTCGGAGAAGGGGCTTACACGTCGATCTCAGACATACCGCCAATAAGCAGCTCGAGCTCGCGTTCATCGAAGACGTTGATCAGGTCCTGAGGGATGAGCTCACTAAACCCAGACATGAACGCCTCGAACTGCTCCTTGACACGCCGAGAGATACGGTATTCGACGACACAGTCGACGTATTCCTTCTTGTTATCTTCTGTAACAGGAACATCGGCGCCTCCAGGCTTCAATTCAACCGTGACCATCTCGCCAAAGCGTTCCTCCGTTGTAGTGAACGTCTCATCAATGACATCGGTGATGTCGTTGTCACTATATAAAATAAGAAAGAGATAAATCATCAAAAGGAAAAAAACTTACAGCATCCAAGTCAAACCACGGTGGAGTTCAGCATCCACACTCTCGAGGTCGGCAAGGGTAACTTTCTTCTTGAGAATCATCTTGTAGAAGGCGGTAATGAAGTAGGCATCGAGGAAACGACGGTGGAAGATGCCGAGTCCGAGACACCGACCGATGAACTTGAAGTAGTTCAGATGTTCAGGGTTGACGCCAGACGCAGGGTTGATCTGTAGAGTATAGTTGTCGTGTGCAGAATACTCAAACAGACAGTAGAATGGGTTGAACATCTCGTGCGAGAGCAAGAAGAAGAATTCCCTGTTAGGCCATAGATCAGCATACGTACATATTCTTCGAGGATAAGCATAACTGCTTGATCGCACCTCGAGAGACCTCCGTAGTCCAAACCATCTTCACCATCGAACTTAATCATGAGCCGCTTCTTCAAGTCACTTGGTGTCTGCCTCATGATCTCGGCGTAACTGTCCTCAAAGATGTGGTTACGCCTGACTTTGATCTGGCAATTACCAGGCTGTGCGCGCATGGCCGGCTGACTCCTGAAGTAGATAAGCTTTCGGCGGAAATCGCGCTTGTATTGCGGTACGTTTGCATCCAGCGATGTAGGCAGGCGAGGGTCGTCCCATGTTGTCGTCTTCGTGTTATGATCAACAAAGTAGACACGCGCGGTGGACGTGAGACGCATTTCCCATCCAGAGGGTAGCGGTCCAAGCTGAGATATCGACTGTGACTGCAGGCCGGTGCCTTGTCCATTGGGACCCATGACACGGATGATTGTCTGGCGACGCGGATCCACCCATGTCGTGGTGCGAGTGTTATGGTCGACGTAGTACGGTCGCCCCTCTGGCGTGTATCGTTCCTCCCAGCCTGCGGGAAGGGGCCCTGCGCCCGACGTGGTCACATTATTGCTCGCGGCAAGCGCAGCAGCAGCGGTGTTGGCCTGGGCCGAAGAGTTACGCGCCACATTTGAATTGTTCGCCTCAAGCATATCGTCTACAAGAATACGACGATTGTGTTGGTCGCGCGCCGCGTTAGTGACGCCGTCCTGTGCGTGAGTGTTGGCAGTCTGACTCGACGATGGCCGGTTCCATGTTGTGCTGCGAGTGTTATGATCGACATAGTAGGTGCGCCCGAGGGGATCGATCCTACGCTCCCAGCCAGGGGGAAGCGGACCGTATTGATCCTCGTGGGGATTGAAGTTGCGCAGCTGCGCATTGTTATTGGAGGCCGTGTGTCCGGTCACGCTGGCATTGGTAGCAGAGCCTGGTTGCGCAGTACCCGTGGCAGCGTTCACGCTGCCTGTACTAACTGGGCGTGTGGTAGCAGGGGGCAGTATTGGGGTCGACGATTGTTCAGTGTCAGGACCAGATGGACTAGCAGCAATTTGTGGTGTAGGCATCGAAACATGTGCGCCTGCGTCTGGCGCTACAGCTTGAGCGCTCGGGCTCCTGGAGAGGGAATTGTTGTTGGCGGCTAGATTGTTAGTGCTCGCAGTAGCAGAAGTTGTGCCAGAGCTAACTGAAAGCCCAGACAGTGCCTCAGAAATGTTGTTCACTTGAGACGGGCCCGGATTGCTAATGGGCTGGCTGACATTGGTGGAAAGATAAATGATGAGCTTGCCATGGACAACTAAATTGTCGTTAGATTTCTTGAGGTCCAGTGTAAGCATTTCTACAACAACATCTCAATATAAGAATCGCCCATTGCAGAACGTTGGGGAAGTGAATTCGCACCATGACCACCCAGGTCGAGGTCTAAGACGTCACTGACGCGAACATTGACTACACCCAAGAACCCTTGGTCCCGCTTTTTAAACTTTCGTTGATCGAATATCTGGACGGCAATCACAGATGAATCCTTGACAGTGCTGTAGCTCGGTAAGCAGCAGATAGAAGTGTACAAGAGAGAATACGTGCATGTCAAAACTCTCATTCCAGTAGGGGTTGAGGGTCTTCTTGATGACGCTCGTCGTGTGAGTCTGCTCCGCGTCGACGGTAATCACTGCGAAAGGGTCAGGAAGTCGGAAAACCTCGCGCTTGGAGAGGCCATCAGCGGCGACGACTAAGAGGAGCAATCAGCTTTCCGGGGAATATGATACTGTCTGAGCCCAGCTAACCAGTGATCCTGATCTTTTTCCTATCCTCGCAGTGAGCGCGAGTACCAAAACAAAAGGAGAAAGGGACGTACGGCTGATTCTGGGGCGCAGACATAGCGCACCTGTGAGCTAGATGGCTTCAAGTCTGGCGGACGAGAGGGGGGGAGGGGCGGAAGTGGTGGCTGGGGGACGATGGAGACGGCGACCAAGTAGCGAGCTCGCGATGAGCTCAGCCTCTGTGCGAAGCCGACCCTGTGCCGAGGCCACCGCCACCGGCAGATTCTGTTTTTAGGAAATTACATAAGCAACCTTCCTGCTCCAGCTCCATAAATAGCAATCCGCAGTGGCTGGACCTAAAAGGTCTAGCGGGAACCTGACACAGATCTGTAATGCTCATTGCGCCGATTGCAAGTGAGTGAGTAGAGTATATAAGCCGAGGAATTGCGATCAACTTTGCCAGTACTATAGAGCTCTCTATGCTACACTCAGATATCCCTTCCGCCTGCTGCACTCCGCAAACGAGAAGATCAACAGCGAGGCGCTAGCGCTAGCGCTCTTGATTCCGAGTCTGCCAGAATCCAGCCGCGGTCGGATGCAGCGTTTATGGCGGCTGACAGTCCCAGGCTACAATCCTCCTCTCGGCCAGCTGATGTTCTGCAGGCACTCGTCGCCATGGAGGTCTACTTCGTCTGTGCTCGCGGCAGCAGCTCTTGGCCTGAGAGCACCCTCCACACGACTGGTTCTCCCAGGGCGCCGATACGGACAGAAGGTGCCGGATAAGTACCTTTTGACAGATGCAGCTACGCTGCCCTTCTCGTTCTCTGGAACGTATTGGAAACCCTCAGCCCACCATTTGTGTCTGTCCACGCGCGATGCCAGTCACAGGACACACATGCACGAATACAAGAGCCTCTCGACGCGTCCTTGCTCAAGCATTGCCTCTGCTCTTCCTGCTGGCGGTATCCCTGCTCCCAGCATGTCCTCCGAACCCCAGGTCGATTACCGTCTCCCGACAACTGTCAGGCCAACCCACTATGACCTGACCATCCGCACGGACTTGGAAAAGTCTAGGTTTGACGGCTTTGTGAAAGTGCAGTGCGTGTTTCGATGTTTCTTTGCGATCTGCTTCCTGAAATACTGGAATGCGCATTTCAGTCTTGACATTCTTAAGGATACTTCTCAGCTCGTCTTCAATACTGCTGAACTCGAGCTCAGTAACCCTGTCCTATATTCGGAGGCCTTGCACATGGAACAAACACCATCTACCCTGTCCTTTGACACCATCATGGAGCGTGGATTCTTGTCTTTTACCACTCCGCTTCCCGCAGACTCAAAGGCGCAGCTGTCACTCTCCTTTACCGGACAATTGACTGGTGCAATGATGGGTTATTACAAGTCTGTTGGTGGAGAAGACGGCAAAGATGTATATGCGCTCACTCAATTTGAGGTACCATTTTACTGGACGTACTGCTTGCAGCCCCGCTCATCCGTGAAAATAGCCGACTATTGCCCGCAAAGCGTTCCCGTGCTGGGATGAACCCTCGCTGAAAGCAACGTTCGCAGTCACATTGATCTCTCGCGCAGATACTGTTAATCTTAGCAACATGTCCGTTGCCTCTGAATCAATTTATGAGCCAGGCACTACGCCCGAGACAAATATTGTTCTCTCCTGGCTTTCTACTAAGCTGTCTACTCTGGGATCTGAAAATGCGGATAAATGGATAATTACGGGATTTGATACTAGCCCTCCTGCAAGTGCAATAAGCCACTGCTGTCAGATTGTCCTCTCACAGAGGTTAATAGATGTCTACGTACTTAGTGGCCTGGGCGAATGGACACTTCAAGTATTTGGAAAGCTCATATGTGAGCCCTCTGAGTGGCAAGACTCGACCTCTTCGTATCTACGGTAGGAAACAACTTCTGATATTGGGTATCCCGTTCATCCATTGGTTTTTAGCCACTGCGGAAATCATTCACCAGGCTCAGTTTGCGCTCGATTTGAAACGACAGATTCTCCCTATCTATGAGAAAGTATTCGATATTGAATATCCTCTCCCGAAATTGGATACTTTGGTTGCTCATGATTACGATGCTGGTGAGTTGAAGGTCTCGCTCAACTATATTTGCGTCTACTTATTCCCTATATTCAATGATAGGTGCAATGGAGAATTGGGTACGCTGGTGCTTGACTTAAAGAGGATGAATACCGTTGACAAGATGAATCATAGGGTCTCATCACAGGGCGAACATCCACTCTTCTTCTCGACCCCAAATCTTCCGATCTACCAACGAAAAAACATGTTGCGGAGACACAATGTCACGAAGTTGCACATATGTGGTAAGTACATGCTATAAAGTTTCGAAGAACATGGTTTAATCCAATGTATTTAGGTTCGGGGACATTACCACCATGGCATGGTGGGACAACCTGTATCTGAACGAAGGCGCGTCACGCTATTTCTGCGTTTCTCTATCGCTCAATTCCTCTTCAAATATATAGGTTTCGCGACGTTGGTGAGCTAAGATCCCCCTAGACAGTCGTAACGCCCCAGAATTGACAGACTGATGACAGGTGGGCGAGGTCATGATTCTTGGTACGTTCTGGGCTTTTATAGTGACGATCATTTGTTAATGTTCAAATTCAGACAAGTATGCAGACCACGCTCGCCTGTAAACCGAGACTCAAAATTCCACAGGATATTTCCTGAATGGAAGCTCAACTCGGCATTCGTCTCTGGACGCTTTGCATATGCTCTGAATGTAGATGCCAAGATCTCCTCTCATCCCATTGAAGTGGAATGCCCAGATGCAAACATGGTCAACCAGGTGGGCCTGCTTGGGCATGTAGTCAATGTTTATTGATATATATTGTGAAGATTTTCGATGGCTTGTCATATGCCAAAGCTGCCGCAGGTGCAGTATTTCACTCCATGCCTCCCAGCTTGCGTCACTGATATTGGGATGGCTGTCGCCAGTATTGCGCATGCTAGCGAGCTTCGTTGGTGAAGAGGGTTTCTTGAAAGGCGTATCCGTTTATTTGAAGAAGCATCTGTTCAAGAACAGCGTCACGAAGGACCTATGGAATGGTATAAGCGAGGTGACAGGTACTAGCAATCTCATTCACAAAACTCTGCGCCTTTAACGCTGTCCTTTCAGGGCACGACATCCCCAAGATGATGGACAACTGGGTGAAGACGGTATAAAGTTTGACTGTCTCGCATTATTCAAATTATGCTGACCACCCTAGAATAGACAGGCTACCCAGTCCTCACAGTCACCGAGGCGGAGAACGGCATCCACGTACGACAGGATCGTTTCTTAGATTCAGGCCCTGCGAACGCGACTGACAACCAAACGATTTGGTACGCTTCAACCACGGAGGTGTGCTGATGGTCGTTGATTGAACGCATTTGTATCTTTCATAGGACTATTCCCTTAAGCATATTGACGGTCACGGCTAAGGGTGACGTGATCGTCAACCGTGAGCTCGTCTTGGACCAGCGCTCGATGTTTATCCCTCTTGACGTCACGAAGCCGTTCAAACTCAATGCGGGCACTGTGAGCTTTTGTAAGTGAAAAAAGGAACTAGACGGAAATTCCACGGCCAATGTGCGCCACATCCTTCCCTAGGTCGAGTGTTTTATCCCCCAGAACGCCTAGTCAAGATTGGCCGAGAGGCCGCCCAATCGCCATCGCCATTCTCCATCGAAGACCGCATGGGCATCGTCGACGATGCACTAGCGTTATCGAAGGCGGGCTTCTCGAAAGTCAGCAGCGCGCTGTCGCTGATTGACGTATTGCGCAATGAACAGGAATGTACGCATTTCGTTCTTAGAATCAATTTCTGCTGTTGTTAGCTGATATCCCAATAACGTAGATCTGGTATGGGACAGCATAAGCAAGAACCTTGCACAGATGCGCAATGTCTGGTGGGAGCATGATGACATTGCAGACTTCATAGATGGATTCCGTCGTGTAAGTCGTACACTCTTGAGTTGTCTCTCGTAGCCCTCTGATGAGGAAGGTTGATAGGAACTATTTACTCCCATTGTCCAACGCCTGGGCTATGTCGCATCTCAGGAAGACGATGCAGATACCCAAGAGCTGCGAACGTTGGCCATTGAAGCAGCCTCGTTTGCTGGAGAGAAGAGGTACGCGTGTGCAGTCGTGTAACATGCTGAGTAATGCTCATCCGTGCTTGCCATCTAGCGTGGTGAAAGAGTTGACTGACCGATTCGCCTACTACTTGAAGACAGGTGATGATTCGCGCATACCTGCTGAACTGGAACAGGCTATCTATAACGCTGTAAGTCGAGACATTATTTTGTGTCTCCACTGCTCTTAACGATGACAAAGGCTGTGCTTCACGGGGGCCGCGAGGAATGGGAGGCTGTCAAGCATATCGCCGCCAAGCCAAAAACGCCTTCATCGGGAGTTGCAGCAATGCTTGCTATGTGTGCTACTGAGGATTTAGATCTTGCAGAGGAGACGTTCCAGTACACGATGACAGATGCTCGAGACCAAGATCTCATGTACTTCTTCCGCGGCCTTGCCATGAACAAGAAGACTAGGCGTCTTTTAGTAGTTAACTTCAAAAAGAACTACGATGCAGTGAGAGAATTTCTGATACTTGGATTGATCGTGGAGTTCTCGTACTCATTTTCTCTACAGTTTGACAAGCGGTTAGAAGGCAATTACAGTATGCAATTCCTCGTCAGCGTCCGTAAATCGTGTTACCTCTTGCTTCTTGTAGTAATCACGCATTCTTTTCCAGATCGCAATATCCCCATTATCGTCAGACAAAGACTATGAAGAGACAGTCGAGTTCTTCAAGGTTAGCCCATGGTCGAGGAGGCCTTCTATCGTCAACATGCTGATGGCGTGATAGACTAAGGACACGTCGAAGTACGACATGGTACTGAAGCAATCCCTTGACAGTATTGCGTCACGTTCTGCTTGGATCAAGGTGAGTATTGCGTAGTGTGCGGGTCTAAACATGAACCTCATGCATTCTATGCCAGCGCTCTACGAATGATGTCCAGGAGTGGTTCCGGAGCAGAACAAGTCTGTCGAAAGTTTGAAGGTGCGTTTCTACAACTGTATCGAGACAGTGTGGAAGTGTTATGTTTGGCTGCAGGGGTAATTACCATGGTGTTGCCATGTACATAGCTACTAGGCACTTCTTCGCTGCCTTGTGGTGGCGCGAATATAACTGGGATTTCGGATATGTTTGGCGCTGTCAGTGTCCGGTGAGCTAGCTTGAAAATTCTGACGTCTTCCCTACCTGTGTATGGCGTCATTATTTCTGTCCTTAGACAGCGTGATCGTTGCGTTTGGATTACTGTGCTGGAGGACCAGGTAAGCTGGACTGTGGTATAATGTGGAGCTTGGTGCAGCCAATCTCAAACTGCAGCAGCATTTTCTTGTACCGAGATTACACACAGAGTCGGTGTCATGAGTACTTACAGTCATTACTAACTCAACATGTTGATCTGCATAGACGTCTTGTGGCGTACACAGTCTACACTCGCGAGATGCCATCGGCACGTGTATTCTGGACTGAACTTTATGATCAGGGACATATAGGCCCGGTTGAATCCAACCAAGACCACTCTCTTTTCCCATCTCTGTCTTTGTGCCGCTCTTCTTACTTCCCTTTCTCCATTGCCGTCCCATCAACTCCAACATGCAGTCAGCCCAGCACAATCTGTATCGAACCGGCAGAGCTCTTGAACATACCCCGTCTGTCAATGGCATGTATTTGACTGACAGTCGTGATCCTGTTGTAACGGTGAAATTTATGAACAGCGTCTTATCTATGTCATTGCTCGAGTGCTGCTGCCAATCAAACAATTGGGAGCCAAACACTCATCACAGCGTCGTCACCTACCCCGTGGGCTCCGATGTCCATCACCTGTTCAGATGTTGGGACCGATGTTCATTTGAACAGACGTAAGCAATGATTTGTCCACGTCACCCTTCGAACGTGTCTAATATTTGCTCTATCCAGGGCATTCTGGAGTGTCGGGCTACCACTGTCGGTCATCGTTTCTGCACAAGCGCTCTAAAACATCACCCTTACCCGCTCATACCAGGGAGCATGATGGGTATCTCATGAATAGTCTTGGTTTTGATGATGCGAATAGTGTGAACGATAAGCCCGAACCTCTCAGCTCACAGATGTCAGCAACCGGCCAACGGACCTCCTCCAGTCGCGTTAACTTCGACTTTAGCCCTTCAGCTTGCCCAGCGCCGCCCTCAGTTCTCGGTTCACTTGTTCATCCCTCACAATCTTTTGTGGCAACTCGCATTCCTGCATCTATGTCTCGCCGTCGTTTGGCCTCTAATATTCCGGCATTGCACAGCAAGGTAGATCTTCCGCCGCCACCGACATCTTGGGCAGTTTCGTCTCCTTCGGACGACACTTCTCGTCTACCTGACGGTGACTTCGGCCCTCCTGCTCTCTTGTTCTTCCGACGGGGAGAATCTGATCTAGCTGAATTCACAGACACTGCCTCATCGCCTGTGACGCCTGTGGAACAAATCATGCATACACCTATCGAACCTCCCTCGATTGGCTCTAGACACTTCCCCAAATCCAGAAAATTAGCAATCTTGCATTTATCGCTTCGCTCTGATCTCTCGTATGAATCTCTCTGTCCTCTGGATTCGCCTGATCTGCCTTTCACGCCACTGGTCGATGAAGGAATCTTTATCGGGCCATCTACAAGCCTGTCGCCTATTGTCAGTGCGCCTACCTCAACATATCCCTCAATTAAGGACAAGATTGGATTAGGCCATTCAGAGGAAATCAGCAGGAGCTCGCGTCGCTGTCAGCTAAATCCTATCCTCGCTAGATGTTCTTCCCCTTATGCTCTTTGTGGTACTGTATGCTTGCCTGTCTCCAGACGACTGTCTTATCATCAGCGTACAAGCTCGCCTTCCACGCCGACCCCCATACGGGAGCAAGTCAATCTGGCATCCCCGGCCATCATCCGTTCAATGCACTTTTCCGACGACAAGGGCAGTAGCGACGTCTGTGGCGCAGGCGAAGGCATCGAAATAACCCCCGTTCCAGGCAAGGTCCCCGGCCAGTTATCTTTATGCTCTACCTCTCTTCTGGTCGAAGCGATAGGATACTTTGGTGTCTGATGGAAACTTGAATATGTATCGTTGCAGTACTCGACCTCACCATCCCACTTGTCTTTATATCGTTTCGAATTGGCATGTACATAACAAAAATGTCTCTTAATATTGTTTCAGTTCTCCCTCGTATGTCCTGTCCGCCCTTCGCTGCTTATTCTCGTAGATTGAGATCTCAAGCTCAAGTCGCGTGCCTGGATCGAGATGGCAGCCAGCCACATCGCAGCCACATCTCCGCGTTGCATGGAGCCGGTATCCACTTGCATGAACGAGGACTGTCTACCACTGGGCGCTCACTGTGCAAGTCGACGCTCGTAAAGGCCTGTGGACGACCTAAGTACAGGAGAATTGGACATTATGGCTGCACCGGTGACGACTGCGACGACTGCACAACGCTCGACGGTGACTATTACGACGTCCAAGGTATGTTGTTTGTACGGTCATGAATGCGCGCACACGACTTTGCTTATGCAGTCACTTTCCAGAAGAAACTCATCTCGCGACAACGGCTGAGGAAGGTGTGTCGGTGTGGATGTCCTGGGCCAAGCGCAGCGGATGACCACATGTGCGCGGCAGTACTCTTGGCTTCCGGATGTGTTGCGGCTCAAGGGCAGCGTGCGTGTTTCGGTGTTCTGCTCTCGACTGTTCTGCGCTGCTGAAGGATGTGGTCTCTGCACAGATTGTGCCCCGCATCATTGGGCCCGTTTTGACCGTCACGCTCTTCGCGAGCGGTGCGGCGTATTTTGGGAACCGGGGCACGGACCTCTCGCTCACAAACCAGGTGGTTCCTCTCTTGTCCGTCGTCGTGAGTTTGTTGCATCGCTTTCGCGTGCTCAGTCGATTGGACATCCGCTTTACAGGTCGGCTTGATACTAGTGTTTAGGTGAGTGTCTGGCTGCTCCGCACACTGCGCACTGGCTCACTGCGCCCACTTATAGGAACGGGTATGTGGTCTTTGAAGGTTGGCTGCGTAACTCTGAGGTGGTTCAACTAGCACGTCTTACGATCGGTACTATGAGGGACGAAAAGACTTTGGGACAATGGTCTCACACGTTCGTGCCTCCAACGGTCTTCTGCGCGAGCATACACTCATAACCCCGTGTTGGCCTCACCAGATCCGCAGTCTGACGCGCTTAATCTGGATCAACGTATGCGTGCCCCCTACGGACGACGTCGCCAAAGGCAAGACACCCAATGCCACACTCACGGCTGCCCAGCTCCGCCGGAGGAAAGTCGACGCACTCAAGCTGTGCGTGGCCTTCGCCTTCGCGGTCAAGCACTATTTGCGCGGTGAGGACGGGGTGGACTGGGACGACTATGCGGGGGTTATGCCCGCGTCCATCGCGCGTTTGGTGCGGAACGGGGCCGCGGAGCGCGGTGCGCAGTCGTACATGTCGTACTCTGCCACAGCACGCACGTCTGTGAGTACCAGTGGTACCGGGACGCCCGCCGAGGACCAGAGCCAGGGGGTGTGCAGCCCATCGATGGACGCCACGAAGAGGGTGCGTGTGAAGAGGAGCAAGGACAAACTGCAGCAGGTAGCGGTAAAGTCGCCGAAGACGCCACTGCTCGGTGCTGCCTTGCATCAAACGATTGACTTCAACGCCAGTCCTGAACAGCTGTCGACGCCGCTTCCATTGATGTGACTGCTCAGTTCCTCATGTTGGGCTGAGCTCTAACACGACTCTGGTAGAATTGCGCACGAAATATCTCGTACCGTATTCCTCTGGAAACGTGATGGCTATCTCGAGACCGTCGGCCCCGCCGGCAAGTATCTCTGTTCTGGACTTCTAATACTGGTACTCATTCTTTTCCACAGGTACTAACGCGCTGAATGCCCAGTACGTGTCTGGAATATACAGAACGCGCGTCATGTTTCTGAGCCTGGTTTAGTGTCCAGGGCATGGTGGATATGCTAACCGCCATGGAACGAGTGGCAAATACGCCCATACCGAGATCTTACAGCATTCACCTCAAGCAATGTGTTACGCTCTACTTATTCGTGCTTCCATTCACACTCATTAAAGAGCTCGGATGGAGCATGGTCCCCGTTGTGACTATTGTCGCGTTCACCTTGATGGGGATTGAGGGAATTGCGGATGAGATTGAGATGCCCTTCGGTTAGTCCAACGTTACCTCAGTGCGAACTTCGTGCTAACAGTAGCTTGACAGGCTTGGATAAATCCGATCTCCCTCTAGGTGCGAGCCCCGCCTGACTGTCCGGTGCATATAACTCACCACCACGTCATACAGAGCGCTACTGCGCCGACCTCAAAGAGGAGATTGAGTACGTGCATGTTTTATAACGTAAGCTCAATCCGTTCTAATATTTGGCCTCGCAGATACGTCGTCGAAAGATTGCCGGAGGGTGGAGAGGGAATGTACGGCATTGACGATGGTGAAGGGGATGATTAGTCCGACAATGTGATGATACCCTGCATGTTGCATCCGGCTTTTGTAGTTATGGACTGAAAATGGACGCAAAGATGACATGGATTATACTCTATCTAAACTCTGGTGTACAGAATTCGCCTGGGCCATACGGCTTTGAACCAAATAGAGTATGAACACAACGCTCCTGGCTTGAATACAAAGAAAGCGACTGACCTTCGACGTGAGTGCGGTAAGCCCTGCCGAGTTCTCACTTGTGTGTCGGCCGCTCTGAGGGCCAGGTTTTGGTTTCTCGCCCTTGGCGAACGCGTCCAAAACTTTCTTCGTCGTGGCCGGTGTCAAATCTTCCTGCAAACATAATTATAGCCATGAGAAAGTATCGCGCATGAAAACATCCGACGCACGTAGAAATCGTCATTAACGACCATCATTGGCGCATTGCTGCACGCGCCTTGGCACTCGACTTCAATCACGGTGAACTTGCCGTTCTTGGTCGTTTCCCCGGGCTTGACGCCGCCGAGGTGCGCGCAGACGGTGTCGAGGATGTCGTACGATCCGCGTAGCATGCAGGGCGTCGTGGTGCACACCTGCACAAAGTTCTCACCGATTGGCTCGCTGGGAGCAGCATGAGACGGGAGCGTGGAGAGGTGGAGAGGCAGACGTACCGGTTGAACATGGTATAGAAGGTTGCGACCTCGTATACACGCATGGGCGGCATCTCCAGCAGCTTCGCGACGTAGTTCATGACGCTGATGCTCGTCCATCCCTTGTTCTGCCGCTGGCCGAGATCGAGGAGGGGGATGGTCGCAGCTTTCTTGTATTGGGGAGGGTAGTGCGAGATGATCTCCTGTGCGCGCTTCAGGTTCTCCGCATTGAACTCGAAGGGAACCTATTAGCAATGTCAGGAATTGCGTAGCAAAACTCATGGTGCGATTGCACCTTCGGGTTGTTGTACGGGGTATCCCGGTGCTGCAATCGGAATGAGACCAGCAAGATGTTTGGCACTAAGTATCAATGCGTACCACAAAAAGAGCATCAGACCTCTTGGACGTGGTGGACGAGATCTTCCTGCATGCCAGATGAGGGCGAGGAAGGTGTTTGGGCAGCCGTGTCGCGAACATTTGGACGATGTCGAGCAGTCGCTGTCTCAGCGCAACGGTTTACGGCGTGGCGATATTGGCGCTCGTGTTGCGCGTCTAAACTCATTGGGCACATGACCATATTACCATTTATGGAATTCACCGTCGGCGTCGTAGTCGACTCGTCATCGGGCAAGCAACGGGAAAAGCATACACCGCTCAGAGTTGCATGCGTGAGCTGAGTGTAGCAACGTAGCAGCACATTATCAGGTGGATCTCATTACGAACTGATAAGCATCGACGTAACGACGAAAGCATGGCTAGACCAGGAGTCTCGAATCAAATGTCTGACTTTGGGAATGAAAAAAAGACATAGAAGCCGGTGATATACAGGTGCGACGAGCTCAAACTCGATGACCGGAGTCGGAATAAAACGGACCTGAGTATATCCCGGACAGCATGGGTCGCGCTTGGCGAATGAGAAAGGACGCCTGTGTGCCTAACATAGATGCCACGGCGGCGACCATTGTGGATGAGAGCGCGTCTGATGACGGGGAAGATGCAGGCGATGGGCAAGCCTCGAGGCTCCACGTCGCGTTGCTAGCGCTGCGACAAGTGATCTCACGAGACATGGCGGCCTACACGTATGACCTGATGAACGATGCGGATCCATGAAAATTGAACGACAGAATAAATTGAACAATCCTTGGACTCTCCGGCAGGCGCAGGTTTCGTGTTGAAATGCGTCGTCGCGGGGAGCGTAGAATGAAGAGGGGCCAATCGCGTAGGGGTTCAAGTCAGTCGCGCAGCCCGCCTGATCCCAAGAGGACGCCCACGGAGTGTTCCGTGCGGATTCAGAGTTCATGGGACCCAGGCAAGCACCTGTTAGGAAGGAGGCAAAGGGGTGAGCCGAGTTGTCCCTTGGGATCTCACGAGCACGTCGAGGCCGTAGCGATTGTGCAGATAGCCTAAGGTCCCTGCAGAGAGAGGAGCCGAGCGTGACAGATGGCTGCGATAGCGGCTGCGGCGGGCGCAGCTGGCGGGGATGGCGAGCTCGCAGCGACAGAACAGAAAAGACATATGTCGGAAAAACAATTGCAAGGGCAAGATGCGCTGCCAAGGTCGACGACGGCGTAGGCGGTGCGGGTGGAGAGCAAGTCTCGTCTCGGTGGCGGCGGTTGTTTGGGCTGTGGCGCGGAGGGTCTGGTGATCGCTTCTTCCCGCGCCTGCTCTTCCTCACTGTCCCCTCTCTTTCCTCCACGCTCATCTCCCCGCCGCTCTCCCCTTCCCCGTCGCCCCACTCGTTCTGCTGAAGCCCCAGCCTCCTTCTGCCCTCTCCCCCCCTTTTCGCGCCTGAACGTATCACTGGTCTTGCTCCGCATCACGCTTACCCACTCCTTCTCGCAACGAAACGTATTGTATTCGTATCATCCATTCTCCTTCAAATGACAACCCACGGCCCCATTAATGGCGTGAAGATATCTGGTATGTTTGACCTCCAATGCTATTCTATCTCCTCACATCTGTCTCGTCCATCACTCTCCGAGTTCGAGCCATTTCGCTACCTTCGCGCCTTCTTCCCACCGCGTCCCGCTGACCCATGCTAATGCAACTGATTTCGATCTCAATTACGCCTTTCCCCCCTTAGCCGTCGATGATCCTCGCAAAGTTGTCAAAGTTGTCGCCTCCGATGGCAAGACCGGTGACCAGAAAGATCTGATTTACACCAACTGCAAAGTCATCGGTAATGGTTCTTTCGGGATCGTTTTCCAAGCCAAACTGCTTGACGAGTCGGAGGGATCTTCTGAGATCGCCATCAAGAAGGTGCTGCAGGACAAGAGATTCAAGGTACGTGCGTTTTCCAGCATCATTGACCGACCATTTATCATCTTCAACTCGCTTGGATCGTGCCTTGCCCATCACACCTGTTGTCTGTATTTGTTAGAACCGTGAACTGCAAATCATGCGCCTAGTGTCACATCCGAATGTTGTTGATCTTAAGGCATTTTTCTACTCAAACGGTGACAAGGTGAGATCTTGTTCATCCACCGGCGCCGTGAATAAGACAAAAATTGTCAACTGATCCTAGTCTCAAAAGAAAGACGAAGTGTATCTCAACCTTGTGCTCGAATATGTTCCAGAGACCGTGTATCGCGCAAGTCGCCACTACGCGAAGCTCAAGCAGCCCATGCCCATGCTGCAAATAAAGCTGTATATGTACCAGCTTCTGCGCTCCTTGATGTACATTCATTCCATTGGCATCTGCCACCGAGACATCAAACCTCAGAATCTACTCCTTAATCCAGCCACCGGCGTTCTCAAGCTCTGTGATTTCGGCTCGGCAAAGATCCTGGTCGCGGGCGAGCCGAATGTCAGTTACATCTGCTCCCGGTACTACAGAGCACCGGAGCTTATCTTCGGGGCCACGAACTACACGACGAATATTGGTGAAGGAGATTATACCGGCTAGTCTGATTGGTATCCTGACAGATTTTTTTTTGTGCACAGATATCTGGTCGACGGGTTGTGTGATGGCAGAACTGATGCTGGGGCAACCGCTCTTCCCGGGGGAGAGTGGTATCGACCAACTCGTGGAAATCATCAAGGTCTTGGGCACACCCTCACGAGACCAGATCAAGACCATGAACCCTAACTACATGGAGCACAAGTTTCCTCAAATCAAGCCCCACCCCTTTTCCAAGGTGATTTTGCGTTTACTGCAATCGTGTGACTTGTGTTCACATCAGCCGCCAGGTATTCCGTCCTCGAACGGCACCGGAGGCAATCGATCTCGTTTCCAAGCTGTTGGAATACACGCCAGAAGTACGGCTGAGCGCTGTTCAGGCCATGTGCCATCCATTCTTCGATGAGCTGAGAGTAGAGGGTGCGAGAATGCCTAATGGCAAGGACTTCCCACCTCTCTTTGACTTCACTAGGGAGGGTGAGTCCTTTCTTGTGCTGTCCGCTCTCTTTATCGGTAGCTGTCGGCCGCTGACAACTTGTTTCCCAGAACTCTCGGTGCGCCCTGATCTGATCCGACAGCTGGTGCCCCCTCACTGTGAGAAGGAGCTGGCCTCACGCGGCATCCATTTGGATAGCTTCGTGCCGATACCACTGGAGCAGATGAGGATAACTTTGGATTGACGGACCATGTTGCCCGGTGCCGTGAGATTTACCGTCCGTCCTTTCGCATAGCGCTGTTTGCTTCCGCCAATTGTTTCATGTGCGTTCCAATTCTTCTATATATCTTGGCTTGAGCGGCACCAGTGCCCGACGACTTGCGACTACTACATAGGTTGTATGAGTTTTATGATGTTGTGACCTGCAGTCGGCTTCCAATACAAGGGAGAATAATAAGCGTATATCAGGTGTTGGCTGGCGGTTGAGATGCTATTCATCATCTTGTGTGATAATCGTGAGAGACGCAAGGAGCAGAGCAGCGCTGGCAATTCTGGTATGTTTTCTGCTTAGTCAGCAAAGCGATTTGGGCGCTAATATTGCGCCATGTCGCGAACTCTTCACGCGAGCTCGCCGACGAGCGTCTGCTTGTGCGGGGACTGTGAGTCGTCCGAGAGGCTCGTTGTTTATAACTTTGTCCCAACGGCCACCTTCCCACCTTTCTTCAGCTATGGCCTCTTTATCCTCATCTCCAACGTCGACTCGCTTGTGCGATACCCTCCCGCCTCCTCGTCTTGTGTCTGAGTCAATGTCCGAAGCGTCTAATCCTTCCTTACCCTCTGTGGTTCCCGCGACAGTCTTTGAGTTCGAAGGTCCTCTCATCGACAATTCATCGCTTCAGCTCGTGACGAAACCTGAAGCGGCCCACCATGAGGCAAACCAGTCTCAGCAACAGCCTGCACAGAGGAAGTTGTGCGTACGGCATCAACGCATGGCAGACGAAGGGACCAATCTTAAGCTCCAGCAGGTGAGTACATCTTATTTTTATTCTTCAGACCTTCCCGAGGTATGCTTCCTACGTAAACGCGATATGTTACCGCCGCCGATGCGATGAACTGCCGCGTTACCAATCATCAATTGAGAACGCACCGAGTGCGGGAATACGCCTCGGAGTTGCTGGCTAATGGCTGGCCTTCGTTTCGATATGATGGCTGTCGGGTTCAAGGGGAATATCCGATCTCATTCTTCTGCACCATCCATATTCAATTTCAAGCCTGTGATATTGACGCCATACCCCATTAGGCACTGGATGCTCTTCCCGTCGAAGAACGTGAGGCCGTAAATGCTGTGTGGTCCAATTTCTCGTCCTCGCCCCACCCGCGCCGTGCACTTATCCTCCAAGGACTTCTTACGATGTGCTGCTTCTCCCAGCTCTCTCTCCTTTCCGAACACCTTTCTCATCTCATCCGCCTTGATCCTTTCGCTGTTTTACCCCGCGAAGTTTCCCTAAGAGTACTTGGCTACCTCGATGCTACTTCGCTTTGCCGCGCTGCACAAGTGAGCAGACAATGGAAAAGTCTCGCCGATGATGATATTCTATGGCGAGGGATTTGCGAGCAGCACATCGGTCAAAAATGCCTCAAATGCGGATGGGGCCTCCCGATCTTGGAGAAGCGCCGTATAACACGCATGCCGTCTGCCTCTGCCTCGCCCTGTCCATCTCCCTCTATTAATGACCCTGCGATTTCGCTGAAGAGGCGTGACTTTCCTCCGGAATGGTCCCATGCCGAGCCTCCACTGAAGCGTCGACGGCGAAGCGAAGAAGACTCTGCAGCTCCTCCAGAGCAACTTCTGGGCTCTCCGCCATCTAGTATGACCTCACGGGCCTACGAGAAATCACGATCTGCCTCCCCCCCCTACCCCTCTGCAGAGCGACACACATCACCCCCTTCACATGCGCTCACACGACCCTGGAAAGATGTATACTGTGAACGTCTACGGATCGAGCGGAATTGGCGGCGGGGTCAATGCACTGTCCGCACGCTTAAGGGGCACACGGACGGCGTGATGTGTCTCCAGTTTGATGAGACGCTGTTACATCCGTCGTTCCCCGTTTTAATCACCGGCTCGTATGACCGCACTGCACGAGTGTGGAATCTCGAGACAGGGACGGAGGTACATTGTCTGACTGGCCACACACGTGCCGTGCGCGCGCTGCAATTCGACGAGGCAAAGCTTATCACCGGGAGTATGGACCACACTATGCGCGTCTGGAACTGGCGGACGGGCCAGTGTCTGCGGACGCTTGAGGGGCATACGGAAGGTGTGGTATGTCTGAACTTTGACTCAAGTCTGCTTGCCAGTGGCAGCGTCGACACCACAGTTAAAGTCTGGAACCTCAAGACGGGCGAATGCTTCACGCTGCGTGGGCACTGTGACTGGGTTAACGCAGTGCAGCTGTGGGATTCGAACGAAAGCAGCGCTAACATTTCTACTTCTTCCCTTTTCGAGAGCAAAACAGTCGTCGCCTCGGGCAGCACCACACCCACACCCACGATCGACACCGGCAAAATGCTCTTTTCGGCGTCGGATGACGGTACGATTAGGCTTTGGGACTTGTCGCTGCGATCCTGCGTCCGCTTGTTCAAGGGCCACGTAGGGCAAGTTCAGAGTCTGAAGTTGCTCGTGGTTGATGAAGATTGCAACGACGTGCCCGTGCCCGTGCCCGATGTCTCGGTCAGTTACAATACCCGCCAGCTACAATCACGACCCACGAGTGCTAGCGGCGTCAAGCGACAGAAGCGCGTTCTCATTTCAGGGAGTTTAGACAACACGATCAAGCTATGGGATATCGATTCGGGCAAGGTGGAGGAAACGCTATTCGGGCATATCGAAGGCGTTTGGGCCATTGCGAGCGATAAACTACGTTTGGTCAGCGGTAGTCATGACCGAACGATCAAGGTTTGTGTCCCTCTACTTGTTTTGTGGGGTGATCGATGTTGATAGCAGCATGATAGGTATGGGTGCGCGAGGAGGGTCGGTGTATGGCTACGCTGGTGGGCCATCGAGGTGCGGTGACGTGTTTAGGCTTAGGTGAAGACAAGATCGTGTCAGGCAGTGATGACGGGGATGTGAGACTCTGGAGCTTCAGTTGATGTGTTGGTTTGCATTTTTTGAGTGGATATGCATGCTTGATTTTTTATTGTCAGTATCAGCAAGCATTTAATTTGAACATTGCACATGGTTTTTTTCTACTTGTACTATTATTACCATCAGGGAATGTCATATGGGGGTTCTTGTTTGAAGCAGAGTGATTCATTTATACATCTGTAAAAATTGACAGGTGTCTGTAGACTTAAGTAGGAGTGATATGGTGTGGAAGTCTTACACTATAGAGAAATTTTACTTAATAGAGAAAGGCTCACCTTATTCAGCCAGTACCTTTTCAATGTCTTTGCATTGGAGGAAATAAGTCATTCAAAATGTTACAAGTTGATGTAGGGGGTTTTCTTTTCATCTTGCTTATTGTTCTACAGATCCTGTACTATTTATTCTTGGACAACATCTGTTAATCTGTTCCTCAATGTGTATAATCTCCATCCATCAATTTCACTTATTTCCAGCTGTCATTGTTTATATCACTGATTTATCTCAGCTGTTGTTCTCATCATTCTATCTATCAGTTTATTAATTCAACTCATTTCACTGATATAGCATTCTAGTCTACATTGACAGGACTTTGTTTCATTTCCCATACTTTTCTGTATTTAAGACATAGCTACTGCAGTGTTGTACTTTAATTTTGTCCTTCTATTCCTATGTAGAGACATCCAATAGAACCTAGGTGTCCCTTTGTCTGCTTGACTCAGTGTGTGTTTGTTAAGGGACCTAGAACAATAAGGGATCAGGAGTTCCACTAGACTTTGCTGGTGTGTCTTAAGACTATGATGCTTAAGTCCTAAGGTGAGGACTTGTGCTATAGTCATGTTCAACTATGCTGAGCTTCCCTAGCTGGGGAAGTTTGAGAGTGCAAACTGACTGAAGCAAGTAATAGACAACTGAGTCTATATTGCAGAGGTGTCCCTATGAGGTGTACATTGATGAGCATCCAGACCTGCTATACTCAGATCAACCCAATTTTCAACTTTCAATTCCATACTCAAGCATGCAATTGGACCAACAGCTTTGCAAACTGATACAATTCCTCCAGCTGTCAAGGTATTGCCCTTGACCCTAACCCAATCCACTAACCCTAACACTCACTTGCGGTGATAGTAGTTGCAAGAGGTAAGCAAAGTGCTTGTCTTGAGAGCGGTTAACTCAGAGGATGAGTTTAGCAGTAAGTAGACAATGGTAGAACTGTAAGAACAGTCTGCCCCTCTATACTATATTGCTCTGGTATTTATACATAAGGGACCAGATGTTACAGCGTGAGAGGGGGAGGGGTTCTTTTTCTTTTCCTGACTATTTGTCATTGACCCTGTAACTGTACAACTGATCCCATCATTGATGTGTTTCATCTACATCAGTGTTTCATATCTATTGTGTTTCACCTATATCCTGTTTCACCTACATTGCATTTTATCTCTGTCAAACATTTCACCTTCATCACTGATACAACCCAGTGAAACCTGTTTCATATACATCGCTGATCTAACTCAGTGTCTCATACTCATTAAACTCTATTCGCTCTGCCCTATTTAAGTAGCACTGCTTGCGCTACTGTACTTTAGTTTTG